GCCGTGGCTGCCCTGTGGCCGCCCGGGGCCTTGCTCTGCGGGCAGGGGTTGTACGGGCCCTGCCAGCTCAGCTCCCGCACGAGGACACGAGCCATGCTGGGCCGAGGCCCAGGGGCCTGTTCCAGGTCTGGTCCATTCACATCCAACCTGCGGAGGCCAAAGCAGGCGGAGGGTTGGTCCTCACAGCCCTCACCGCGGCCCCACACACGCCCCAGGTCCGGAGAAGGCCCAGTGGGGCCCTCACCGCCCAGCCTGCCAGCAGGCCTCCTGCCCCTCCCTGGGCCTGGGCTCACCCCCCTGCCTGGGCAGGTCACCCTCCCTGTGTTCCTTCAGGCTCCATGGGAGGAGCCTTGCTCTGGGCCACACTTGCTTAGCTGCCGCCGTGACCAGCAGCAAGACACTGCCTCAGGCCCTGTGCTATGCTTTCTCCACCCGATGGTCTCTGAGCCCGGGAAGGGGGGGGGGGTCCAGGACCGGGGTCTTGGGCCTATCCCCACCCACCCCGGTGCCCAAGGAGCCCCCTCACCTGGAGGCAGAAGTCTTTTCCCAGGGTGGGTCACACATCCGGGCATGGGGGTGGCATGTGGCCCCAGGCGGCACCTGCAAGAGAGAGGAGGGTTGGCCAGGTCCTGGCCCAGGTCACTGTGCCCAGGGGACCCGGACAGGCTGGGCCAGGGCCACAGGGCCCAGAAGCAAGCAGGAGCAGAAGTGGTCGGGGCTGCCAGCCTGGTGCTCTCCACCACACTGATGGGAGCCCTGGCCTGGCCGATGAGGCAGCCAGCCAGGTGGGTGAGAGATGGGGTCCTTCCGGTGCTAATGCCTGGCCCTCATTCCAACCCCCACTTCCTCTACCCTGAACCCACCCTCTCTCCAAAAGGGGTTCTGGCTCTACTGCCTGGTCTGTCCCCCGTGGGCGAGCCTCTGTGGCCCCTGCTCCTCCTGTACTGCCCACCCCGCAGGCCCCGGGACCACCTGCACCAGGCTCACCCGGCTGTGCTCCTTAACGACAGAGATGCCGCTGGGCCCCAGACCCCGGAATCATCTCTCGGGCCAGCACCACAGTCTGCCTGGAATGTCCGGGCCGCCCCCTCCACCTTGACCCCCACTTCCCCACCCCTGCGCTCCCTGCTGCCCTTCCTGGATTGACCGGTCTACAACCCGCTGTTTTAGGCCTCACTGGGTGGAGCGAGGACCTCACCCCAAGACAGGTGGACTCCATGTGGGCCGGACACACAGAGGGGCGTCAGGTACTGGCCTCTGGAGCCCGTGATGCCACCACGCAGGCCTGTCTGCCCCTTGAGCTCATTCAAGGTTCACGCTCTTCATCGTGT